TTAGTCTTCCCACAGAGTTTCCACGTGAGGAGAGGGAAATTAATTCTCTGAGGTCTGATACTTGAGGCAATGCTTCAAGTGCTTTAATCCTTATAGATAACAAAGAATTGGGAGAAACTTCATAGCATTGCCAAGAAACCAAACCAAATTTTCCCCTTTTCAGCTTTTCTTTAAGGTAGAGAACAGGACTTCATGGGCAATACACAGGATTAATGGACTTGACTGTTCCTATGATGCCCACTGACTCTTGTCAGCTGTGCCTTTCTAGCCAAGATCCTTCCTGGGACAGCAGGATAGTATGCTATCCCCTAAGGACCTGAGAATATATTACACACACACCCATGACAACGCAAACTCCTTATCCTCGCTGCAGATACCCAGAGGCTTAGCATCGTTCTTCCCTATTGGTTATCTAAAACAATGTCAGTGATTAAATCTCCCTTCTTTAATCACACCATACTATTATCCCTTCTAGGAACGAGCCATACCAGTATAAATACTACAACATAAGCATTTTTATACTGCTATAACTGTGCTCACCAAGAGGAATTCCATCTTTTTGGCACTATATGTAAAACACTGGGAGCTTGTGTATGTGGATGAGCATGGAAAATGTTCATAAATACTTCTGTAAGGTGCCATAGTGTCTAGTAGCAATGTACATCTGCTATGGGAAGCAAATAAGCAAGTACTGCATGGGCTTTCTCCTGTCATGCTCTGAGCAGATCTGAACAATATGGTTGCTAAATCAAGACATCCTGTTTTCATAATATTTTTGTCTTGGTAGTGCTGTGTCAGAGGTGAGCAAGCAATTTCAAAGTACTTCAGAAAAACTTCAGTATAGGAAATAAAAGGTAAAGTCTTTTTGCAAGGCTTCTGAAATGGAGAAACTTACAAAAGAAGCAAATGTTGAATGGTGCTGCCCTGTGTTAACATGGCTATATGTTAATCTTGAAATAGTGGGCATAAATATCTTTAATGAGCAAAGCTATGCAGTTGCCATCATTAATACGGAAAGGATATGAATAGCAACAATCCTTTAAAATCTGTCTTCCATGGAAAAGCATCAGCCAAACAGCTCATCAAGAGCCACACTGTGCATATCAAAAGAATTCTCTAGCACGAGATATATGATTTATGCAGGAGGGGTTTGACTATACCTTCTGTCTCGGTTCTCTAGATGTGATTAATCCCACAAGGCAAATATTTCATTCAGGTTCTCTCTGCTTTCATTTTAGGATGAGGATTTTCCCCTCATGGCCATTACTTCTCTCCTGCTGGAGCATTGGAGTCTGCAGCTTTGAATTTAGTCACTGCAGATGGTATCTGCACAATGCTACCAAATGCTAGATAGCATCTATTTGGAGCACAAAAACCCTCATAAAATTATTTCAAAGGACACATGCCCTTGACACACGTCAAAGGGGTAAGTAAACTTAGTCAACAGTCCTACTTAAATACATCAGGTAAATTCAGCTTTAACTATTTTAGTGTTACGTGGTACTAAAGAAAATGTCTGTGCTTCCAAATCCCTCCAAAAAGATAATTTCATAGGGAGGACTGGACCTTCTAATTATTATTTTTATAAATGTGTTTTTATTTGGTTGTTCCATGGTGGGAAAGCTTCTCTTCTCAGTGGGGATCTGTGTACAAGATAACCAGGCTTAAAGACCACAACAAGTGACTGAGTAAGAAAATCCCCAAGAAGAGAGAAACAGCTGGAGAGAGGCCAAAGTCTCTGCCAAGAGATGCTTCAGTGAGTGAGTGCATTCACTCAGATGAGGGAGGCCAGAGGATAGCTCTTGAGAAACAGTTCCTGAATTAGCTTTCAGTCTTGTTATCTGGCAATGAACTTTATAGCTTTCACAAGGAGCAGGCTTCACAATCCAGCCCAGTGTCCTTCCAGTGATGACATAGTGCATGTCGCTAGGCTGTATGAGAAAGATTGTCAGCTGGAAAACCTGTCAGTGAAGGCTTGAAATGTTCTTTTTCCTTACTAGGTATTGTTTTTGACATGAGGAAGGTGCAAAAGGAAGGTTGCCAGCAAACTAATAAAAAGAAAAAGGTTTAACTGGGTTTAACTTTCTAAAAGTGACTGGTTTACAGTAATGGTTTGCTGGGAACACAGAGAAAGTTTGCATGGTGGAGAACAACTGAGCATACGATACGATGAAAATTGCAAAGAATTTTGCCCTTTCCACTCATTAGTGAAGACTGTTCATAGCTCTACAGGATCAGGACTTATCCGAACTGCACTTTAAACTCAAGATTTCCATTATTTGAATGGCGTAAGGTTAAAATATCAAACGAACCCTACCATCTCTTTGAGGTGCCATTTACTTACTTCTTTTGAAGTCACTTGTGCTTCTTTAATAGGTTGTACTCACCACATTTATATGTCCTCTTAAATAAAATGTGTGGCTCTTGGCAATGCAGCTTATATGCTCATAAAATCTGAGTAACTTTGTGCTAAATTCTAATTAAGAAATTTAATTAAGCCTCCAGTTGTTACTCTGTCACGTGAGCAGCAGCTGGGGACTACCTAATTATTCAGAGATCTGTGCTACTTTTGTTTTGTTTATTTAAAGAGCTGTATGTGACACTTCTTTCTTTAGCAAACTCCCCTGAAGTATTGGACAATTAATGCAAACAGCATGTAGACCTTGTGGCTACTCCTAGACAACCATCTGAGTACTCTGTAAGTGATACTGAAGCTCTCTCTTTTTGCCCTAGGTCAAAACCCTTTCTTGTGTCACATGGAAAAATAGCAACATTCTTTATTCCTGAAAGCATTTATTCTTAGAAAGTCTAAATTGTCAAAAGAAACACTTTATTGTCATAGAAATTTCACCACTATTATTTTCCACTGTGTCCTTCACTCAGAGACTTTGTTATACATAAAAAAGAATCCAAGATCAACTGCCTCTCAGCAGTAGAAAGTGACATGCATATGAAGATCAGAGCCATTGAATAAGACTGTGAACCTCCCCTGTACTGGTAAGCATCCAGGACAGCTTTGCTGCAGTCATTACAGATATTCTGGTGTAACTCAGGTCAGGCTCTGTTTACAGTGCCCGGCTGCTTCTGAGAAGGATCAGTTGCACTCCAGTAAATTACGCAGTAACACAAATAACAATCCAGATGCCTAGGTTTTTCAAAATCCTTCCCCCTCCCAAACCTATTTAGCCATGCTTACATATAACTAAAGCATGCAATGGCCTAACTTCTACCATATTTCAAAGCGCTCGCATCTCGATTTTGTTAAGGGCCCAGTTCTGTTGAAACGGTTTCAGCTGATAAGATTATTTCGGTAATCAGGGCTTAACCTTGGGAAAACAAAGAATGGATTGAAATAGAGAGTTCGCCCTTCCCTTCTCTTCCAGTCTACACATGAATGCACAGGCTGCTTGCACTCTCCTCTCGTTTTAAACCTCATCCACGCCAGTCCTCTTGACAGGAAATACGGTATCCTCTTCCATGCGTGTTTCCCACCGCAGGGGTGCAGAGCGCTGATCGGCCTCTGCCACCTGCTGGCAAAGCCAAAAACGGTCCAGACGAGAAATGGGAGGCTGAAGTGTTGCTTACGCACGCCTAAAATCTGTCGCCTTTAATGAAAACCATCGTGGTACGAACAGGACAGTCTTCTGCTGTTGCTCTTCCCGCAACTTTGGCTGCAAAGGTTGTGCCCGATGAACTCTGTCAGAAAAATACCTCCAAAATGAAAATAGTTGTTACTGCATATATGCAAGAAGGGTCTTTGTTGCTTACAGCTCAGCGCTGGGATCTGAGGCTGATTTGTGTTGGTTTTAAGGCAATTCAAGCAACAGACAATTTTAAGATATCTGCATGTTCTATAATTTGAGACTTAACAGCTGAACTTATCCTCATTAGGCCTAACTGATTTCTGCTCCTGAATTGTGGTAAAATTGAAATGTAGGTCTAGAGGTGAAAGTTCTCTTTTCAGCTTTGCATCCTATGCCTGGTACACTCAGTAGCCCACACAGCAGATCTGCATATGCCTTGTGAATGTTAGCTGTTTCACATATTGTGTGCAGCTGATATTCATATCTGTGAGAGGTTAATAACACCCTGTGAACCAGAGGGTTTCTGGGCACACTTGGGTAATTGCTCCAGTTAAATGCTTTAGACTCACAGCAGCCTCTGGAGATGAAATTCTCATGCAAAATTCATTCCCATGAATTACTGCAGTCCATAACAGATTCTTCTCACAAAAGTACTGAAGTGTGAATTTCTCGTACTGAAGCTTTTCTTGATCAGAAGAGCATCAACACAGTCTGACAATACAAACTTCTACAGTTTTTCACATTTGCCACAATCAGAGTCTTGCTGGTCTGTCCTCTACCCTCCAGCAAAGCTTCCTGTGCTGAAGCTGCAGTCTCTGGAAGAACAGAGCAGCCCTCAGGCTGTCCAGGTACCTACAGCACCACTAACATTGTCTTTCTATGAAGCTTCAGGCCTAGGATGCCCATCTTATTAGGCAGTTAGTGGATTTGGAAAAAAAACCAAAACCTGTCATCACCATTAGAAGCACAAGAAAGGGGGAGGAGGGATGGTACACCAGAATTGGCTCCATCCAACTGGGATTTCTATTCCTTGCACAACAGAACCTTATGAAATCGGGTTTACCTCGTCTCGCCTCATTAAGCTGCAAAGTAATTGCAGGCAGTCCAAAAGTATATCCTTACGTTACGCCTTCGGAGAAAAATAACTTTATGAACGTGCTTAGAGCATACGTCCGGAGCGAAGCTTCCCAGACAAGGAACAGATCTGCCTGCATCGGTTCCCAGGGGATTCGTCTCTCCTTTCCTTTTTCGGGCGGGGGGAAGCAAATACGCCCGGCACATTTTAAGCGGACGTGATGACAGAGCCCAAGATACGTTCCGCGCAGCACCACAAGCGCACCCGGGAAATGCCCTTCCGGGGGCAGGCGTGCGGGCTCCGAGCCCCGCGACATCCCGTGCCCGGGGCGCTTCCGGCGGATGCGGCGGGGCGGGGCCTTGGCGGCCATGGCGGCGGAGCAGCGGGAGCTGGGGCGGCTGTCGGCGCTCGCCGTGTACCGCCGGGTAGCGGGGGCCGGGCGGCTGGAGCGGCGCCGCCGCGGGGCGCAGCTTCCCGCGCGCCGCAAGCGGGCCAAGGCCCGGGCGAGGCGCGGCCGAGCGGGAGGCGGCGGCCCGGAGCCGGAGGCCCCGCCTCGGCCGGCGTCGCCGCCCGCCGCGCCCTCAAGCCGCGTGGAGCTCCCGGTGGAGGTCCGCGGGGAGCCTCAGCCCGGGTGGGCGGCCGCTGGGCCTGAGGAGAAGCCACGGGGCGGCCCCGCGACCATCCCGGGTGGCCCGCGGGCGGCGGGGGAAGACGACGGCGGCGGCGTGTCGGGGCTGCTGCGGCGGCTGGGGCGGCTGGAGGACAGCCGGCAGCGGGCGGCAGAGCTGTTCCGCTGGCTGCTGGCCCCGGTGGCGCCAGACGAGTTCCTGGGGCAGCACTGGGAGCGGGCGCCGCTGCTGGTGCGGCGAGGCGACCCCAGGTACTACGCGGGGCTCTTTTCCACGGCCGACTTGGACGCCGCCCTTCGGGACGGCGAAGTGCACTTCGGCACCCACCTGGACGTGACCAGCTACGCCGAGGGCGTGCGGGAAACGCACAATCCCTCGGGCCGGGCCCTGCCTGCCGTCGTCTGGGACTTCTACCAGAACGGCTGCTCCCTGCGGCTCCTCTGCCCACAGGCTTTCTCCCCCACCGTCTGGCACCTCCTCTCCATCCTGCAGGAGCAGTTTGGCAGCATGGTGGGAGCCAACACATACCTCACGCCACCAGGGACACAGGGCTTCGCCCCCCACTACGATGACATCGAGGCCTTTGTGCTGCAGCTGGAGGGGAAGAAGCACTGGCGCGTCTACAGCCCCCGGACGGATGCCGAGGTGCTGCCCCAGTTCTCCAGTCCAAACCTAACGCAGGCTGAGCTTGGTGAGCCTGTGCTGGAGACGGTGCTTGAGGCCGGGGACCTGCTGTACTTCCCCCGTGGCTTTATCCATCAGGGCAACTGTCTCCCTGATGCACACTCGCTCCACATCACTGTGTCTTCCTACCAGGGGAATTCCTGGGGGGACCTTCTGGAGAAGCTCCTCCCAGCTGCCCTGCAGATGGCCCTGGAGGAGGATGTGGAGTACCGGCGAGGGCTTCCCATGGACTACCTGGGGTACATGGGGGTTGCCAACTCAGACGCAGTTGATGCTCGGCGAACAGCCTTTATGGAGAAGGTGCAGAGCCTGATAAAGAGACTCATTGACTATGCACCCATTGATGCTGCCGTGGATCAGATGGCCAGGTCATTTCTTCATGACTGTCTGCCCCCTGTGCTTACACAGAGTGAAAAGGCGCAAAGTATCTATGGCTTCCCAGCCCGGTGGCAAGATGGAGGCCCTCACAATGTTGATATACAGATAACAAAAGACACCGAAATACGCCTCCTCCGCCATGGCATTGTTAGATTATGTAATGAAGAAACAGGTGTGATGCTGTATTACACGACAGAAAACTCAAGAGTGTATCACAAAGAAGAACCCAAGTTCTTTGAGCTAGATCCCGAGTATACAGACAGTATAGAATTTCTGCTGTCTTCCTATCCAAATCACGTCAGTGTGGGTAACCTTCCATGTGAAACCTTGGAGGAGAGGATTTCTCTAGCCACACTCCTGTTTGAGAAGGGCATTCTGACTACGAAGAGGCCTCTGGTGCAAGTGTAACTCTTATTTTTTAACCAAATAAACATACATTTGTTTAGGAAGTGTTCTGTCTTGGTCTTGCCTTACGCCTGCTAGATGTGAATCAGCAGTCCAGGTCCCTGCATCTCATCTGGGGGCAAAAGGGCTATGGTATGGGTAGGGAAATGTTCTGATTACAATGGGTATCTGCTCTAGGAGCAGAGTAGCTGAGTGACTAGAGAAGGGAAAATGTTACTACACCCTAGGTAACTTCAGGAACCTAGTGACCTTTCTTGCAGTCTGTAAATCATCTCTGTATTTTCACAGTATTTTAAAGCAGCCTGTTCTGCTGTGGGAAGTACTCTTATTATTCACAGGCAAATTTGGCGATGGTCAGCATTCTGTGTGCCTGTGCTGTGCCATGCTGCGTAGGCCTTCAGGCCTATGCTCTGTTGTAAAGATCCCTTGGTCACAGAAAAAATTTGTCCAGCTCTTCTTGGAAGTGGAGCTTGCGGGCAGCTCCCACTCAGTTCTAGCAATTACATTACCTATGTGAGCCTGCCCTTATCACACAGTGCAGCAAGATGTCCTCAGGCAAACATGATCTGCTGCATTTGAAATGTTTCAGGCTCACTTGCATCTTCTTCAGTCTGCAAGGTGTCTTAGTAATAAAATAACCTCCCCTACTGGTTTTCCCACAGCAGCCCCTAGCAATGAAATTATTGGTCCTTTCAAAGCAAATGGGGCACCCTCTAATATGGCTTTTTTTGTGCTAGGTGAAAAAAGTTTCATTTAAGGACCTATCAAATTACATGAACACATGCCTGGCTGTGTGGCCAGTTTCCATAAATACCGACAAACCTCTAATATGCTTTTCCTCAATGCTATTTGATCATAGCAGTCAGCAGGTGAGGAATATTCTGTCTTTAAAGCCTCCTGAAGCTATATCCACAAGGAGCAGGGTGTATTACCCTGTGGTACTCTGAGCTGTTGGATCATCAGGGTTTTGCAAGATGGCACACATGCACTTTTAACCGGTTAGGATTTAAGTGTACGCTATGTCCTCCAAGGTCCCATACTTGCAAAAGCCAGTGTGCCAGCCTTTCCTCCCTCTTTTGCCTGTATGCATTTGCTAAATCTTGAAACTCGGGCTGTGTAAAACTGCACAGCACGAGAGCGTGCTGAGGTGCCCTGCAGCCCTCTTTGATCTGTAAATCACTAGTGGCTGGACAGAAATGCTGTTGTCACATGTCCTCTGACCCTTTTGTCGTCCTTAGCAGAGGGTCAGCCATCCTTGTCCCACCATTCATGCCCCTGGTAAATATCTCATGCCCAGTTCCTGGGCTGCTCTGTGTGGCCCCTGTGCAACCACAGGCACCTGCACTGCAGTTTGCTGCTTGGGGGCTTGCGGTGCAGTGCTGCACCAGGAGCTCATGCAGCCCTTCCTATGATGGTTATAAGCACCCCCATGTCCATTTCAAGTACATTAATGACAATCAAAGATGGCACAAATTTTCCTTAGCTTTTCCTTTCCTTGGACCCTGTCTCCTAAAACAACATAATACTTTAGCTGGGATGAGAATTCTGATAATTCCTTCCCAGCTTCTGAATCTACTAAGGAAACTGCCTGGGCTAAACACCTTACACATACTCCTCATGGTTTTACACAGGGCTAGCCAGGCACAAGAGTTTCTCTTTTTTTCTTGGTTCTTTCTCCATAAAGGTATTTCTCACTAAGACTGGTGAGAAGTTGCACTGGGAGGTGCTGGTCCATTATGATCCCAGAAAAGCACTTTTGTAAGAAAAGCACTCACATTCTGTAAAGTATCTAAAAATGCTATTTATTAGAGCTAACACTAAAAAGAGACTAGTATAGATAATCTTACACCCCTTTAGATGCTGAGAACCCTGAGCAATGAAGCATGTGACAGGACTCCACCCCACATGCAGCATATCATGCAGACATGGTCCATAGCAGATTCTCCCTTCAGTCTTTTAGGGTATTGTAAGATTTTTGTATAAGGAAACAGCTCTATTTATCACGTCTACAGTCAAAGAGAGACAATGTTTGCATGGGAATATCTTGCTGCACTGTTGGACAAGGGCAGGGCCACAGGTTGTGTAACCACAGGTACTGACTGGAAGCTGCCTGTGAGCTTCTGTGTAAGGAAGAGATGGCTGAGTTTCCCATAAGGCTTGGAATCTGTGCAGCACAACACAGGCCTGAAGGCCACATTGTAAGGACAGTGCAGCACAGCACAGCACAAGCATCAAAGGCACAGGGCAGTGTTGTGTCCTCCAGAGGCTACACCATGGCTATTGGAGGGGAATGTTCTGCATGCTCTAAGGCAAGGCAAGGCAAGGACCATGCTGAGAGTTCCCTCACACAGTTCCAAACAGCACAGAAACACAAACGAAGGTACAGGGAGCACATCCAGCAACTTTTCCAAGAGGAGCTGTGCAGGACAGAAAAGCTGTGAGAGAGCCGGATTTTATTTGCTTTTGTAATCAGCCCCTCGGGGCATTGGTACAGCATCTTTTTGAAGGATACAAGAGCCATTGGCTTCACGATAACCACACGGGGCACAGAAAGTGGGGGGCAAAGCCGGCCGTCCCACCTGGGCAGGAGGAGGAGGCAGCACTCCATGACTGGCTGCCCAGGCATAAGAAGCCAGAACATCCAGCTTAAATACAGTCATGATGCAGCTGAGTGGATCACAGAAGCTGCAAATTGCTCCCAGCCTTCTTTGCTGAGCATGGTTGTGGTCATGGCAGACAAGGTTTCTCCTATCCAGTGTTTCCACATCACTCACTTATCATCCCTGGCCCCTTTCATATGCCTCTCGCCTGCCGCCTGCAGCCACTTTGATGTGCCTGTCACTCTGCCAGAGTTATCTCTGGGGAAAGCTGTACAAATACTCACCTGGCATGGCTAGCATCTACCAGAATGCTTGCCTAGGAAAGGAGAAGGATCAAACAGATATGCACTGGAAGGGTAGAGGATGAGGTTCTATTCAGGTACCATCATCTGGAGTGCCAGAGATGGTGTCTGAGACATATAACAAGGTGGGCAGAAGTGGAGAAGAGAAACATGCATTTTTTGAAGCAGCCTTCATGAATTGTCATCACATGCCCCCATATGACCCCTTAGTCTAAGAAGGGTAAAGAAAAAAGCCTTTACCCATAGCTAACTGTGGAAGCTGACCTCGGCTGGCTGCTGGATACCCACCTAGCCACTCTCTCAATCCCCTTTAGGAATAGGAGAGGTGAAGAAACTAAGATGAAAAACCTCATGGCTCAAGATAAGGATGGGGTGTAATTCATCAACTAACACCATGGGCAAAACAGACTTGACTTAGAGAAGATTAATTTAATTTATTGCCAGCTAATAACAGAGTAGCACAGTGAGAAATAAGAACACAACTAAAAACACCTCCTCCCCATCTTTGGGCAGCATTAAGTCTGTCTCTGAGCTGGCTAAAACTGTCCCTGTCCAATATGGGGGAAGCCCTGGTCTCTTCTCACAAACCACAATTTCCCACTACCAAAACCTTTCCACCATAGCTCTGGATAGCCTTACTTTTGTTTTGCAACCAACGCTCAAATGGTATCATTATGCTTGCTCTCTCTTGGCTATCATCAAGGAACATTTTGCATGGGAATGGAAACAATTTGTGCGTAGGAGGTTCCTGTTATTTGTCCAGAAGAAAAACTAATCATTGCCATCACTTTCTTCATGCAGTTTTGCAAATTCTCAGCATTAGACAATGTTCCCCTCCATGAACCAGCTGTCACGCTTTTCAGCTCACTACTGATGAGCATTTCCTCCCATGTGCCAGGTGAAGGGGCCAGGGATTGGCCTGCTTGGTTACTCCAAAGGAGGCGAACTGTCTCTCGCCATGGCTGCCTTCCTGAAGAACATCACAGCCATTTGCTTCCCTCAATGGCCCTGTGGCTGCTACATTTATTCCTCTCTGTTACAAGGATAAAACCATCCCCATTTTGACCACATATGAACAACATATCAAGGTCACCGATTCCAATATTCTTGATTGTTCTGATGTCCTTATTGACCCTTTTCAAGCCCCTGGCAACCGAAGCCTGATCCCAATAGAGAAAGCTGAGGCACAGCTACTATTCATCACGGGACAAAATGACCATGTTGTCAAAAGAAAGTATTATGCTACTGAAGTCTGCAAGCTTTTGCAGGCTCAAGGGAAGGAAAATTTTCAGATTCTATCCTACCCTGGAACAGGGCACTGCATATACCCTAGCTTTTTCCCTTTGTACCCCATAGGAAACCATCCCGTTTTTCACAAGCGGGCAGTCCTGGGCGAGGAGTTCGGGGCTTATTCTAAAGCTCAGGTTCATGCTTGGCCACAGATCCAGGCTTTTTTCCAGAAATATTTAAATGACAAGTAATGTGCAACAAATGCAAGCAACACACAACTTTGAACAACCAGATCTGATAAATTCTGTTACAGTTATCAATCTAACAGCTTGTCTCAGCTGTACAACTACAGTATCTTCCATGAGTTTACGCATCCATGACTCAGAAAAGAAAGGGGTTTGCCTTTTCTCTTCTTCCCTGAACCTTTTTGTTCAAGTGTCAAGAAAATGCATGGCATTTTTTGCCTTTTATAAAACACCTCATGTGCCAAATGTGCTGTTATGTTTCGGGGGGGGGGAGGTTCTATTCTCCTAATGCATTCTTGACAGTACTTTCCATATCACTGTGGTCTCTACATGTACACGCTATCCTCAGCTCATACTTGAAAGCAACACCTCCCAAATCACAATTCTGGAGCAGGGATTTCACTGTTGTTATGGTGAATGTCTCATTGCAAATGGAAATGTCTCTGATCTCTGTGCTGCTGGGAGTGTGCAAAAATGGATGCTATAGCCAGGTTGCTGGACTGTTTCTGGTTTACCCTTGGGGAAGGTTGTTTGCCTTCTTCCATCTCCCCTTCACAATGCTGTGTTCTGGCTAGTGGATACTTCTGGCTCCAAGATGTAATGTAAAAAACTTCCTGCTGAATTTACAATCATTGTGATCTTCTCCCACATGATGTGGAACATTTTAATCTTTGTTATTGGGTTGAGAATTGTAATAAAGGACTGAGATTTGAAAGCCATGGAATCATTTGTTCTGCTTTGGTTAGAAGCAGGGTTTGCAACTTGACCACTCTCTCATCCCAGGGTGAAACCTTGGGATTGCAGAAGCTTGGGATCAAGGGCTGCCCAGGTAGGAACAGGACACCATAGAAGATAGCCCTCTTACCTTCACTCTTCCACTCCTCTTGTGTCACCAAGCATAGAGGAGAAGGAATGCTGCTGAAGCCTCCAGGACCTTTTCCCTTAGCATCTGCTCCAGCCTATGGTCAAGCTGGTGATCAAATCCAGTACTGTAAACCAAGGATTGTTCTTCTCAACAACAGGAGTAGTTTCCACACATTGAGGGCTAGACACCAGACAACATGGCCAAATGCCAGATGACAAAGCACCTCATCTGTTTAGGAGAGAATGGGTAATCTCCAGAGGGAAGGAAAGACTGCTGAGACTCTGTCCAACACCTCTGACCACTTAGTATTTCCAAACAGGACAATGCTGAGGATTCCCTCAGATGCTTCCACTTGTTTCACACCACTAAGTCACACATGAGGAGTTCAGAGTGTGAGGCACCCCTACCTGCATCTCCAGGAAGACTCGGGGAGCCTAAGGAAACAGCTGTCCCTCTGCAGCTCCTTTTGGGTCAGAAGATCCAGCTCTGGGCAAGATGGACTGAATGGCCTTCTTTTTTTAAAACCTTGCAAAATCCATTACTAGAAGAGCCAGATATTTCCTGACCTACCTAAAGAGCCTGTGAAAGCACTCCCTCTTCATCCCTCCTGCACTACTGATGATCCTGACCATCCTTCCCAATTCACCTGGCTGTGCAGCTGCCAGGGCTGAGCAGAGCCTGGTGGAGACATAAGCCACCTTGCCCATGCCTTGGGGCAACCAATACAGAGGCAGAAACGGCAAGGAGAGGCGAAGCACTGCCGAGCTGGTGCTAGTGTGGCTTCTCCCCGCCCCGGCTGGGGCTGACCCACGCTCCGGTCTCTCGGCTGAGCGGCACAGCACAGTTCGGCCCTACTCGGGGTCGCTGCCGGCGAGCAACAGCTCCGAGCTGCCCTATCTCGGTCGGTCCCACACAGGCCCTTCGCTGCCCAGACGGTGAATCCCGACTGCGATTCTGCTCGGTGGCTCCTCAACGCCTCTGCCCGTCCTGCCCCGCGTGTCCCCCCGCCCGCAGCCACCGTCCGGTCCAGGGGAGCTCGGGGGGACACTGAGGAGCTCTCTGGGGCCAGGACAGGTCGCAAGAACTCGGCAGTTTGACAGAGAACCCTCCCATAGCCGGAAGGGCAGGGTCGAAGACAGAGGAGAGGCGAAGAGTAGGCGGGCAGGGCGGCAGGGAAGCAGGCCGGCGGGGCGAGGGACCTACCGCCCCGCTCCTGCCCGCGGGGTCTTACAGCGGCACTCCGGGATCGATCCCGACTCCGGTTCCGCGGGGACCCGCCCCAGAATCCGCCCCCAGAGGCGGGAACTACCCGGGGCAATGTGGCAGATCACTGCCCGCTCCCTGCGCCGGGCCAGTTCCCGCAGCTGGCAGAGGCGACAGCCCTGGCCCGGCCCCGCGCCTGCAGCCCCACGGTGCCGCAGCCCCGCGTGGACCCCCGGGACAGCCTCTGCCCATGGACTCGCCTCCATGGCCCCCTCCATCCGCCTCTCGCCCGCCACCCGCAGCCTCTTCGATGAGCCGCTGGCCATCGCTGTGCAGGGCCTCGGCCCGCGGCAGCAGGTCACACTGAGGACATCCTTGCGGGATGAGAAGGGGGAGCTCTTCCAGGCCAGTGCCCGCTACCAGGCGGGGGACGACGGGGAGCTGGACCTCGCCCGCTGTCCTGCGCTGCCGGGAGGCAGCTTCTCTGGCCTGGAGCCCATGGGGCTGCTCTGGGCTTTGCAGCCCCAGAGGCCCTTCTGGCGGCTGGTGAAGCGGGACGTTCAGAGCCCCTTCCTCCTGCAGCTGGAGGTGTTTGAGGGCCACGGGAAGCCTCCAGGGCGGCTCCTGGCCCAGGCGCAGCACGAGCGGGCGTTCCTGCGGGACGGGGTGCGGAGAGTCCCGGTGCGAGAGGGGAGGATCCGGGCGACGCTTTTTCTGCCCCCCGGTGAGTACCGGCCGTGCCGGGCTCCTTCTCCCACTGGTGTTGCTCTGCTTTCGGCCCCGCGCTTCCAGGCCCGGAGTGCGACCCCTTCCAGGCTTCCCCTGAGGACAAGGGGAAGCCTCGCCCTGCCAGCTGGCACTATACACTTCTCAAGGAGCAGTCTGATCAGCCCAACCCTCTTTGGTCTGCTGGGTACACTCATTACGTAGAGCAGCTATATGTGCTGAAGCACACTTCAGTTTATTTAATTGATTCTTACTGGACATGAAAGCATTTATCACAATACCCTTCTTGTTCCCAAATGCTGTGGGAGGTGGTGTCAGCCAGTCTTCAAGATACCTTTCCTCTACCTGGCTGTTTCCCAGGGAATTCAGCTAGTAATTCTTTGAGTAAATAGAAGGTTGCTCTCCCAAACTATAGCGTTCAAGCCTGCTGCTTCCCTTTCCAGCCTCTCCACAGATCCTGAACTCAGTTATATTCTAGTTGCTGAAGCCCAAGGCAATCCAAGCTGCCTTTTGGTGCTACATTTGTCCCCAATTCTTCCTTGTTTGTGAGCAGAAGATTAAGGAAAGTATTAGACAGGTTTGCTCTTACAGTATTTTTGTCAGAAAGTAATCATTACTATGGTCTGTGAGGTTTTCAGATTGCCTGACAAATGCTGTGTTGTCCTCCCAGCAGCTGTCCAGATTTCTGCTAGTTGGCTGTAGGAAACCTCATTCCCTTGGTTGAGTGGTTTGCAGCAGCTGCACCACTGCCACACCCCAGCTTTCCTTCCCCCTGTGATCCAGAGGCTTTCACCAAGCATGTCTCTGGAACCTCATGTACTCAAAGAGCTCCTCTATGTATCATGTGCTTTCCCCTTTCTTCCCTGTCTGTCCCTGGCAACTCCTCCATGACAGCGCTAAAATCATACGTGCTGTCCCAGCCAGTGTCCTGGGCTCTGACTGCGCTGTAGCCTTGAGGCTGGAGGTGAATTTCCTGTTCTTCTTGCTTGTTGCCCATGTTCTCCATGTTAGTCTGCAGACACCTGAGGGAAGCCTCACCTTCCCTCCTGAGCAGGAATGGGAGTCTCCCTCTTGGCCTCCTCCTTTCCATATTTTGTTAGCGGTTTGCGGCAATCCCTCAGCTTTGGACTTGTCCCCTGATGAACCTAATGTAAAGGTTCTCTTACAAGGTTAGCAAGGTTAGTTTCAGATACTTTCTTCTCTTAATCCCAGAATAAATGGCCATAGTACATTTACACTGAAACTGAGAAGCTGAAATCATCAGAAGAGATTTTTTTTGATACTGAGAAATGCAGCAAGGAAAAGCCTCCTGGGTATAATTCAGAGCTTGATAGCTTTGCAGTGAATTTACATGATACAGAAACTAGTTGTGACTGTCAAAAGATCAATTCTCTTCCAGCCACATGTTCCCTGATGTTATCCAGAACATTACCAGGCCTGCTAATTTTTGCTGGCTTGTTTAATATTGAAGCAATGTAGCCATTTAATTAAAACTGGCACAGTAGTTTAGGACCCTTAACACCATTCTGCTGCTTTAGGTTTTTTTCTTTTTTTAAAAAGACACATTCCCAGGCCTATGATATTGGCATATAACTTAAGAATTGTGGGCTAATGTGTCCTGTTATATGGTCTCTCGCAGGAAATGGCCCCTTTCCGGGAATTATTGACTTATATGGAACTGGAGGAGGACTCCCTGAATACAGGGCATGCCTGCTGGCCAACTATGGCTTTGCTGTGCTGGCTCTGGCTTACTACAGCTATGAAGATCTCCCCAAAGAGATGAAGGAATTCCACCTGGAATATTTTGAAGAAGCTGTAAACTACATGTTACAACACACCCAGGTTGGTTTGTTCATTGACTCACTACAGTGAACTCTCATTATTTCGGTCCTGTCAGACTACAGATGGGGCAGAGCTGCTGTATTTAAAATAGCATCACTGTTAAGTTGGCTGTGATTAATTTGTTTGATATCTTTAATTCCCATTACAATGGCTCTCTGGCAGCTTGTTCCAATTCTTCCTTTTGAAGTGGCCAGGAGAAACAGTGACACATAAGTAACATACTGGTAATTTCTACTCCATTCAACCCAGTGTCATAACTAGGGCGCTAGTTGCCTGGAGACTTATTTGACTTCCAGCAGGGCTTTTAGGTTTATGCTCTGTAGAATGTCCTGCAGATCTTAATGTCCTTTTCAGCTGTGGAGCACATGATAACCTTCTGTGATACAAGTCTCAAGGAAGTCCAGCAGTACACATTTGTTGCTGTGTATTTTCATCATCATGGCTGGGCTTCGCGAACGAAGATTTAGGAAGGCTCTATCCACATTTGTTACAGGCACGCTGGTGGCTTTTATATGCTGTTAGAATCACTCCAAATGTTGTTATTTGGTGAGTGTGGGTTTTAGTAACTGCTTGTGCACTTAGGGATCCTTCTAAGTCAACACCTCTTGGAAGAGAACCTGCTTGGTTCTGCATCTCCTTGCAAGAAGCTGTGCATGACAATAGCTAGAACTGCACAAGGCAATACTTGGTTTCTCTGGAGAATGAAAACAAATACCTTCCTCAACCTCAGAAAGATGAGTAGATGTTAAAGGTCTTGGTTGCTTTTCAGATGCCTTAACCTTAACTGCTCATGCCACCTCTCTGCCCAAAAAAATCTGAAAATTGCTTCCACCTGCCTTTTTTTTTTTCCCTGAGAGCAGTACTATTGCCTCCCATTAACACCTTCAATGATACCCTCATCATGTTTTTAATGCGTTGCAAAGTTTCATCTGTATTTTCTAATTTCTCCCTTTCCATGTTTCAAAGTCAGTGGGTTTGGAGCCTATTACACTGGTGATAAGATACAAAAGATACTAAATTTTGATGCTGTCTCAGACCTTTTTGCTCCTAAGGGTCTTTGGATTTTGAAGCAGTTGTGGTATTAGCTAACCTTCTTTCAATATCCTTGGAGGCTTTCAATACCTTGTAAGGTCATTTAATTTTTCTATTCTAGTTAATTTGCCTTGTGTAAAAGAAAATGAAGGTAACCTATTCTAGATTGACTCCGGAGGACTGTACAATTCTCTTAGAAAAATGGGTTTAATAGGTTATTTTTTTTAAGATACATTTTAATGAGTAAGGTACCTCAGAATGCTTCCTGTGAGTTAGACACCAAGCATACCGGAGAAGAGGGAGAGCAGCTGATGCGGAGCCTGCCACTCCATGTTATCTTCTTAATAGGGAAACCAAAGACAGTGGTTGAGTATAAGAAATACATTATCATAAGTGATGACAATATCATAGTCATTGCTGACTTTGAGCATTTTGCACTGAAAGAAAGTATTTGTAGAAGAAGCCTCCCCTTCTCCTTCCCTCTTCTTCTCTCAACTGCCTTATAGGCAAAGTGAATTTGGGACTGCACATCTGCAAACACACTGTATTCTCTGCTTCAGCACTGAACCCTGTAGCTTTGTTAGGTGATGATGCTGAAGTCCCAGTAGGGCTTAGGACCATAAATCAAACACAGAACAGTGCCTAGGGTCCCTCAGATGTGGGCCCTGCAAACAGGACCTTAGATGCCTGTACTTGGGGTCCAAATCTGGGACAGACACGGCTGTGAACGTGGCAACATCTTAAAGAAGTGGCACGCTTTGGTTCATTGCTTGTGGTTTCTCTTCTCTCACCTCCAGGTTAAAGGTCCAGGAATTGGGTTGCTTGGAATCTCAAAGGGTGGTGACCTGTGCACCTCCATGGCCTCCTTCCTAAAGGGCATCACGGCCACTGCCCTTATCAACGGCTCAGTGGCAAATGTGGGTGCAGTGCTCCGCTACAAGGACATCACCATTCCACCTCTTAATATCAATTTGAAACGCATCAAGGTCAGCAAGTCTGGGATTGCTGATATTTTTGATATATTGAACAACCCACTAGAAGGGCCTGACCAGCAAAGCTTTATCCCTTTGGAGAAGGCCGAGTGTCGCTTCTTGTTCATTGTTGGCCAGGATGATCGTAACTGGAAAAGCGAATTCTTTGCAGTTGAGGGGAGCAAACGTTTGCAAGCTCATGGGAAGGAAAAGCCTGAGATAGTCTGTTATCCTGGAGCAGGGCACTACATTGAACCTCCCTTTTTCCCAATGTGTGCAGCCTCAATGCACCTGCTAGTTGGCAAACCTGTCGTGTGGGGAGGGGAGCCCAAGGCACACTGTGAGGCACAGATAGATGCTTGGCAGCAGATCCAAGCTTTCTTCCGGAAACACCTCACAGGCAAGCCATCTGGAACATCCAGTAATCTGTGATGTGAAGTAGATTACAGATGAAGATGCTGGTGTCTCAAGATTGCTTTGTTAAATGGCTCAGAATGAGAACAAGGAACATCAGAGAATAAGCTATTGGGTTTCCTGGAGGATGACAGCGGGTGAAAGCATGAAAGCTGCTTTGTTTTTACACCCTCTTCTAACCTTGGTTAGAGGTTCTTAGCCTCCTGCTTTGTGCAGTATAGGATTAAAAGCTGTGGAAGACAAATGTGGTAAGGCTGGGTGTTCTTTGAATGTGAAATTAAGTGGAAGGTAACTTATCTAAGCTGAGAACTGGGGTGAAAATGTACCTTGGCCTTCTCAGAGGAAACATATGCCATTGCCTTTACCAGAGCCAGCTTTGTGTGCTCGTTCCAGTGTTCTAGTTTTTCTGGAAGCAGCAGTTCTCTCTTCCTGCCTCCAGTATTCTTTCTGTTCTCCCTGTGCACGTCCCTCTCCTGTGTTGCTCATTCCCCTTCTCTCACACCACTAAAATGCCTTAACAATATCTAATATTCACTTAGCAAAAGCAGCAGTAATGTGCCTGCTCCTCAGGTAGCAAATCTCCCGTTCATAGACAACAACAGCCCCTAGCCTGATGTGACATTCTGGGCACATGCAGTAGAAATGAGACATTTTAACAGTTTTTGAACGTCTGTAAGCATGAGAAAACAAAAGACCTGGCCCTGTCGGTAGTCATCCTGGAGCCGCTCTCGGGCATCTCCTCAGCTGGGCTGAGTATCCGGTCTAGGTTCGCAGCGCTGTTGGAGGGTAGCGTCTTCCTGCCTGTACATTCCCTTAGCGCCTGCTTCCAAAAGTTACGGGGAACAGTCCGGCTGCGGGGCTGGCTCGGCGGCTCCACGAGGCGCCGGGTGCTGTGCAGGGGTAGGCGGGCTGGAAGGGGCGGTGGAGCGGCTGCCGTGCTGTGCCGGAGCCAGGCTCCGGCCGCATGTCTGGTTCTCTCTGAGCAGCGGGGGCAGCGGGGCGAGCTGTCAGCCCCGCCGGGGATCCTCGGTAACGTTCGGCACCCAGGGGCAGGGTCGGAGGAGAAGGCGCTGGATGTTGTCGGCGAATTTGCGCTGCTGTATCCGAACACTTTGCACCCCCCAGTGCCTGACAGCGCGCGCGGGCCGCATCCAGCCTCGGCTGCTCCCCGTGCGTCAGGCGGGCTTTTGCATTCCCTGTGTTTGTAATAGCTTAAAGTGAAACTTTAGCCGCTGCCCACGGCTCGCTGCCCCAGTCTGTTGGACGGCTTGGGAGAGACTGGAGCGGGCCGCGGCTGGCGATCCTTCCCCGGCTGGCTGCTCCAGTCGCTTGGATGATTTGGGAGAGGTGGGAGCGGCCCGGAGCTGTCCACCTTTCCTGGCGGCGGGGAGGGGCTCTTCTCTCGATTGGGGCCGCCTGGAGGGGGCGGCGGCCGCGGTACTGATATTGCGGGTGGCGCGGCGGCTCCGCGCAGCTTCCGCCGCCGCCGCCATGTGGAGAGCGCTCGCCGCCGCTTCCGCCGCCCCGCCGCGGGCCTTGCTGCGCGCCCGGCCGTCCCGGCGGGCGGCCAGCCTGGCCGTGTCCCCCGCCGCCGGCCCGGCCGACGAGCGGGTGGAGACGCGGGTGGCGGGGCTGAGCCCGGGGCAGCCGGTGACTCTGCGGGCCCTGGCGGCCGGTGACCGCGGCTGCCTCTTCCAGTCGTGCGCGCACTATCGAGCGGACAGCCGCGGGGAGCTGCACCTGGGCACGGACGCCTCCCACGGCGGGGACTACACCGGCGTGGAGCCCATGGGGCTCTTCTGGAGCCTCGCCCCCGCCGCCATGGAGCGGCCGTACCAGCGGCTCGTTCCCCGCAGCACCGACGCCCCGATGAAGGTGGAGGTGTTGGTCCACCAGGGCCACAGCCCGCCTGGCGCTATGCCCGGGCCAGTGGTGGCCAAGACCGAGGTGGAGAGGTGGTTCATGGCCCCCGGCGTGCGAAGGATCCGGCTGAAGGAAGGAGTCGTAAGGGGCTCCCTCTTTCTGCCGCCGGGTGAGTGTCCCGGCCGGAGGCCTTCGCTCCGGGGCCGGTGGAACCCCCCCAGTTTCTCTGACCAGAGCAGGGAAAGTCTCGCAGAACAGAAACATACATATGCCACCCACGGAATCCGTATTCTGTCAATGAGCGGAACGCCCTCCTGCAGACAGGTGGCCGGTTTTTTTCCCCGAAACCTTACGGAAACGCTCCCGAGTGCTTATCGGGACAAGGCCCGGCTTGTGCGTGTCCTGATCCTTCTCTGCGGCACGGGGCAGGCGGCTCTTGCGGGACGGGAAGGAGCTAAAGGAGAACAGGGGTTCTAGAGTTTACTATATCGCTGCGCTCTGCCTGCGGTTTTTCAGTAGGCTGGATGTTTGTTCTGGTCTACCAGAATATGTAACATTCAGAAAAGCTGGTGCGTTTCATTGTGTGAGACTGTGCTGAATGTCCCACTCAGAGGCATTTTTCTTCTATGTGAAACACATGCCCGTAAGCAAAGCAATAGAAGAGCTTCTAGAAAATACACTTATTCCCCCTCTGTTACATCGGAGCCAACGCTGAGTTAGTAGTTGGGTTAGTTTTGTGGTAAACAGGCAGAATAGATTTATCAGCAAGTTTTGCCTGTTCTGCTTGTGGGATGGTTGTGCTTTATGAGGTGTGATATTCTGATGGGCTCCTACTGGTATTGGAAAACAAAACTTTACACCAGTGATGTCATTTGTATGCTTTAGCCATGATCTAAACTTCTTGTAGTTCCCTGACTGTTGTGCTACAGGAACTGCCCTCCACATTACCTCTAATTTAAATCTACTTGGTTCAGCAGCTCCTGTAAGTATCACTACAGTATTAAGTATTTAAGTATTTTCAGTGAATTTCCAAACCAATATTTTTTTTATCTATTTAGATGTGGATCCAAAGTTCACTGGAGAAAAAAACAACAGAGATTGAACTTTGAATTTCAGATGTTTAGTCAGCATGCTGGATTTTCCATTTCTGAGATGTGATTGTTTTGCTATCCTGCCTTAGAAGATGAGTTTGATTTCTGCTGAGCTCAGTGGAAATCTAGAGATCTGCAAGAGAGAATTGTATTTTCCGCTTTAGCAAGTTTGGCATTGTAATAGTGTGGAAAAGTCTGGAATCATTGCTTAAATGATATTGGCATCCCTCGTGATGGAGGATCCAGTTACAGCATTACTATCATACCCTCCTTTGCTCCAGGGACAAGAAAATGTTAATACTATTAAGATAGGAATCTTAAATGTGAACCATTCTTAGTAAAAGCGAAATGATGTAAGTGGGCTTATGCTGTAATTTTAATATGAAAAATTTCTAAATTTGCGCATAAGAGTTAAGATGTGTTTCTTTGGTTTTAAACGGCAGTAAATTTGTCTATCGTGTTTTATCCTGCTTTTCAGTGAGCTATGCAGAAACTATACTTGGGCATGTGTAGGCACTCAGGGAGGCAGTCCAGGATCCTTGCATAAGTTTAAGTTTCTCTTCATGAGAGAAACAGTCGTGCTTGACTGTGTTCTGATTACATGTTCTTGCTAGGAAGCTTTCTGGGTAGGGGTGATAAATTACGTATTTTCCAGCCATGTAGGCTGACTGCTGTTAGCTGAAGGTTCCTGTTGATCATGGCATTATGATAAATTTATCTCAACATATTTTCTCTCAAGAATATTGAACTTCTATGAAAAAAAGATCAGAACTGAAAGAGAACACAAAAGCATAGTTCAGTCCCTTTCTGACTTCCTAATGCTTTAATTTAGGAGGTTTCCACCATCTAGCATGTCTTGTCCAAAACTTCCTTTTCTCAAGTGTGTTGAAGTCAGAGATCTTTTCTTTAGTGCATACAGGTAATGTCAGAGAGTTAGCACTCTCTTGCACAAGCGGGTCCTTTTTGCGAGATGGTTGTAGTGAGCTGGATCCAGGTATATCAGAGGTGACATCTTGTGGCCAGGGGAAAAAAAAAGAAAAAAAAGAAATTGCTTGCTTGGGGTCTTTATAACTCCACGAGGTGGTATCCTTAACCTTTTAACCCAAGATCTGCTGGCTTGGAATACAAACGTGATACAACACAACCTTGGCTGCAAACACATGGCTGCTTAAAATTGCAGTTCTGATTATTTCTGTAGTTTTGTGGGACAAATTGTACACATGTATGTCACGTTTATCTGTATGTCAGTCATGCACGTGTAACCACACCCATACAGCTCTCAGTTTTACCCTCTGTCTGGTCACATCTGCAGTAGCAGTTCTCCTACCAAGTGTTACAGTGCTGATGTTGAGATAGAGCTAGTTAAGTCCAGTTGATTTTGTTTAGCAGTTGGTGTCTCTTTGCTGTGCTTTGCTCAATGCAGTTTATTCCAGAGTTTACATAAGTTTTGTAGAATTGACTTTGAGGGATTAGTGCTCTTTGCTCATTACTCATGAGCTTGCACTTTGTTAATTAAGATGTGACATATTTGTGGGGAAAATAGCAGACTTAGGGTATGATTGTTCTGAAGGCAGGAGGTTAAGACCATTGAAAAATACATTTAGAACAGTTGGTTTTGATTTTTTTAAAGAAAAAAAAGTCTAACTTCACATATTTTTGCAGGAATTTAAAGGCCTATTCTTAGTTTGAAATAGCTGAAATGGGATACAGCGCTGGTTCTCTTCATCTCTGCTGCGCAAATGGAAAAGTAATGAGCATTAATAGCAAATGTCTTAAGCATTCTGTATTTTGTTGTTCACTCTTCACCAGATAGTTTTTAGTGTCCTGTTTGTTAACTTGTCCTCTGTACCACTTCTTTTTAATATAGGGGATGGCCCCTTTCCAGGAGTGATTGACATGTATGGTGATGAAGGAGGCTTGATTGAACTTAGATCCGGTCTCCTGGCTACCCGTGGTTTTGCTGCTCTTTCTCTGCCATATTTTGACTTTGAAGATCTTCCTAAGGTCATGAAAGAACTCAAACTCGAGTACTTTGAGGAGGCAGCTAGATTCCTACAGCGTCACCCAAAAGTGAGTGTAATGAGAGATCTCTTGGGACAAGGGATCAGCAGTCATGCCCAAGTGGTGGTGGTGATTGTTTTGGTTTTTTTTGTTTGGTTGGGTTTTTTTGAGTATCCGTTTCTGCTGGGCAGGTTTAGGCCTAATAGTGAGAAAATTGTAGACGCTGCATAGGTGGCTATGCATATGACTGTGAGAGTGAATTTATTCCAGCACAAACTGTCTGTTAAATAAAGTCAT